GTCCCCATCTCTCCCCGCAGCTCCCGAGCCTCATGTTCTCCCCCCTCCACGCCCGCCACCACGAAGGCGGGGTCGTGGACGCCGACGGGTGCCTGTGGAAGACCATCGTCGTGAGCGGAGGCCAGGACCGCACCGTCAGGGTCTGGGACTACCAGGAGCACTCCCTCCTCCTCACGCACGCCTTCAGGGAGGACATATTCTCCCTTTCGCTCCATCCTACTGGTAAGGGGTTGGGAAAGTCGAAGGAGAAGGGAGTGAGGAGGAAGGAAGGGAGGATAGGGTCGGGAGAGTTGAGGAAGAAGGGAGCGAGGAGGAAGGAAGGGAGGATATGGTCTCCCTTTCCCTCCTTCCTATTGGTAAAGGGTCGGGAAAGTCGAAGAAGGGAGTGAGGAGGAAGGAAGGGAGGATATGGTCTCCCCTTCCCTCCTTCATACTAACAAAGGGTCGGGAAAGTTGAGGAAGAAGAGAGGATATGGTCTCCATTTCTCTACATTTTCCTGTTATAAGGCTGCAAGAAGAGAGGAGGAAGGAAGGAGAATAGAGTATCCCTTTCTCTCCATCCTACTGGTAAGACTAACTCCGCCACTCCGCCTCTCGCTTTGGTTACATTAAAATTTCACTCTCCCGGTCTTCAGGCTTTTGTGACAATGTTACAACTGCTTTATATTACTTACCTAATTTCTAAGACAATTGTAGACTAGATCTTCACCCCCCCCCCAAAAAAAAAAAAAAAAAAAAAACAAGGAGGGAAGGATAGGGTGGGGATGGGGAGCAAAAAGGTAGAAGGGAGAGGGAGATGGGAGGAAAGGAAACGAAGGAGAGAGGGTGAGACAGGGAATACTTGAGGTTATCAGGAGAATGAAGAGAGGGAGGGAATAGGCGAGAGAGGGAAATGGAGAGACAAAGATAATACGAAACGCAAGAAGAGATATACGTAAAAAAATATATATACAAATCTCCCTAGAAAAAGCCCAAAAAAATCACCCCCGTCTCCCTCCAACCTTCATACCCTCCCCCCCTCCCTCCCCCCCACCCACCCCAAACAAAAGACACACAAAAATTACCAAATAAAACAAACAGCCAAATCTCATCCTGAAGGCCTCCACGTGGCAGTGGGCCTCACCGACGCCCTGAGGCTCCACCACGTGCTCTTCGACTGCCTCCGCCCGTACTCCGAGATCCGGATAAGGAGGTGCGGCGCCTGCAGTTTCTCGCCGAGCGGAAACCTCCTGGCGGCGGCCGACGGGAACCTCTTGGTCATCACCTCCAACGTCTCCCTCAGGAAGATCTTCACGCTGAAGGGGCACTCGGCGAAGGTCGGTTGGGGGGGGGGGGAGAGGTAGTTTGTGGGGAGTGTGGGGGGAGAGAGTGTTTGGGGGTTTGGGGAAGAGTGGGGAGGGTGTGGGGGAGGGGGTGGGAGAGGGAGGGGGTGGGAGAGGAGTTTGTGGGGGAGAGTGGGGGTGGGAGAGTGGGTGGGAGTCCTGTGGGGGGGGAAGAGTTTGTGGGGTTGGTGGAGGAGAGGAGTCTGTGGGGAGAGTGGGGGTGTGAGAGAGAGTTTCGTGGAGAGGTGAGGTGAGGAGGGAGTTGTGTGAGGTTGGTAAATAAGGGAATGGTCCTGTTGTGCCGTCGGAGGTTGGGGTTGGTGGGAGGTTAAGGAGCGAGGAGAGATGTTGGGGGAGACATGATGGGGGTGGGATGTGCATGGGGCTAAGTAGTTGAGGGTGTTAGTGGGGGCGTGGCCGAGTTGGAGGGAGGTAAGCCGGGGTATGAGTGTTTGTGGATATGCGTGTGGGTAGGATTGCTTGGTGGTGTGGGGTTGTTTGTGGGCATATGGTATTGGTCTGCATGTGTCCACGTGCGTTTGTATGCACATGCATTGTAGAAAAGGCATGAATGAGACTGGATATCTTCACAATAAAAGAAATGTATTTGACCGGTTTCGATTATGATGTATCTCTTGTATTGTGAAGATATCCAGTCTCATTTATACCTTTTCTACATTTGTCAACATGGATACGGTTCATGTACATGCATGGTAGCTCCTACACGTAGATGTAAGTCTATTCATGTCTGTGCTTGGGTATAAGATTACGTTATATTAACTCCTCTCTCTCAGGTGACTGGCATAGGCTGGTACCCAGACAGTTCAGCGGCCATGACCTGTGCTGCTGATGGCACCGTGGTGGGCTGGGATGCAAACAAAGGACAGTCTATCTGGGAGGTGCGCTTGATAGCTTTTCTGTCTTATCTGTTCATCGTAATTGTCTTTGTTGTTTTTTTAGTTGTTGGTTTACTGAAGCATTTCCTCAATGTTGTTTTTTAATAGTTTACCCTCTCTTTCCTGTTTTCTTTAGTTTCTCTTCTGGTATCTACAGCCTTTCGCTCCGTTTTCTATCTTCCGTTTATTTCACTGTATATCCCTCAAATGGTATCAAACTCTCTCCTACGGACATCACAAACTCTCTCTTACGAATATGCAAATTAACCGCAGACCTTTCAACCGCAACTACGAATAACCACAACACTTTCCTCGATCTCCCGCAGGTGTCTTCCCTCACGTCCTCGAACTACCTGACGTGGACTCTCTCCCTCGACGGCAAGCCCACGGTGGTCGTAGGTCACGGGTCGTCCTTCACCGAAATCACAGGTGGTCAGGTCAGCCTCTCGAAAACCTGTGTTTTGTTATGTTTGTGATTCTTATTAGAATGACGAAGTGCATTTTCGTTCGAATGTGTTACTCGGGTGATAAAGTGCTTAGGTTAGCCGGGTTATTTCATCTATATGGAAATTAATATTAGATATAGAGGATAGAACAGATAAAGAATACGATTTCTAAGATCTAATTTACATAGAGAAATACAGGGACTTAAATCCCCTCTCTGCATTATAGAACCTTATCAAATTACCCAAACTCCCTCACAGATGGTCCAAGACATCACCTATGAACCCGGTGACCTGACCTGCGCCGGTCTCTCTCCTGTAAAGACCCTAGTGACCCTGGGATCGACAGCAGGTCAGCTGGTGGTCAATAGATACCCTCTGCACATGGCACAGAAGTTCACAGCATTTCCGGCACACAGCGGCTCTTTGAACAAGGTCCTTCTATTTCTTTATTAATGTTTGTTATATTAATTCTATTAATATTCTGGTCCTGATGGCTACTGATAGGAATACATATTTTTCCTTCATTTTTTCCAATTTCTCACTCATTTCCCTTCATTTCTCCCTTATTTCCCCCATTTCTAAATCATTACCCCGATATCTCCCTCATTTCCCTCCATTTCTCCCTCATTTCCCCCATTTCTCTCCTTTCCCCCTCTCATTTTCCCTCCATTTCTCCCTCTTTCCCCATTCTTTCCCATTTTCATTTCCCATTTCTCCCTCATTTTCCCCATTTCTCCCTCATTTCCCCATTTCTTCCATTTTCTCCATTTCTCCCTCATTTCCCCCATATCTCCCTCATTTCCCCCATTTCCCCCTCATTTCCCCCATCGTTCCCTCATTTCCCCACCATCGCTCCCTCATTTCCCCCCAGGTGCTGGTGACGGGCGACGAGAGCAAGGTGGTGACGTGTGGCGCTGACGGCGTGATCCTGGTGTGGCGAGTGGCGGCCTTGGAGGAGGACTCACCCGGGTACCTGGCGGCGAGGGAGAGGCTGGAGGATCTGCCCCGCGTCCCGGAGATGCTGGTGACCCGGGCTGACCTTCAGGTGAGGGATGACCCGGGGGGTGGGTGGGGGGCGGGGCGGGGGGGTGCTGAGTTATTGGGCCACTTCGTTATCGGTTTTGGAAGTCGGGATATCTTCGTGTCCTTTTGTCTTTAGTTGTTATCTAATCTAGTTTTTTTTAAAGATTAAGGTATGGTTTATAAGTGTCCATGGAGGGAACATTCGCAAATAAAAGGACCGAATCTTAGTATTTCTTTATTCTAAGACCAGACTGAACCCCTTACCTTCCCCATGCTCCTCTCTCGTGGAATTCTCTTCTGTGTGTTTGTTTTTGCCGATGCTCCTTGCCACTCCCACTGTGTCTCGCGTCTATTACGTTAATTTGTTCTTTTCTCCCCTTTCCCCTTTCCTCCTCTTTTTCTTCTTTGGATTATTATCTCTCCTCCTCCTTCTCCTATTCTCCTTACCCTTCTCATCGTCCTTTTCTTCTTCTTCCTGTTATAATTATTATTTATCTTCCTACTACTTCTCGTCTTCTCCTCCTTCTCCTCACCCTCCTCCTCCTCCTCCTCCACCACCACCTCCTCCACCTTCTCCTTCTCCTCCTCCAGAAAACGCGTCACCACCTGGAGGAGCTGGAGCGTCGCGTGTCCTACCTGTCGAGGGACAAGGAGGTCCACCTGGGTCTACAGCAGCAGGAGTTCGCCGCGAGCAGAGACGCCCTTGTGGCCCGATACCAGACGATCGTCGACCAGATGAACGACACGATACAGGTAAGTCGCTCTTTTCTGGGTATGTCTGTAGGTGAAAATATAACTAAGCCACAATTAGAATTCAAAATGAGCGTGACGTTTCGAACTCTTCGCGAGTCCCACTTCAGACAAAAAACGAAATGGAAGATGTCTGTAGGTATGGTTCCGCTTTCAGGTAGGTGCGTTTCCGTGGTTTGTTGCTAGTGTGGTTGTGATATATTTATTTTTTTATACATTACTTGGATAGGTTTGAGGAGAGTTTGTAGAAATTATAGAGATTGTTAAAGGGAAGGTTTTTCCCCAAGTTTCGACCGTCTGGATCTGTTCCTCTGAGACAGACCCAAGGACCCACTGTCTCTCTCCCCAACTTCAAACACGAACACAAAAGGATCTTTCCCCTTTCCTTAGACCCTGGAGAAGGAACGCGAGCAGCTCAAGGACGGCCACAAGGACTCGTTGGCCAAGCTCGCTGAGGATCACAGCAACGTCATGGCAGACCACCAGCAGGAGTTGAGGAAGAAGCTCCTCTACGAGTTAAGGAAAGATGCAAGCAGGACAAACTCGAGGCCAAGCTGAAGGAGATGCAGCAGACACTCGACAGGTGATAGAAAATGAATCGATCTCGGGGCAGTTGGTGTTACTTTTCACTAAAAATATCGGATTTGTTTTTGTGTAATGAGATGATTGCTCTCATTGTGAGCTGCTTGCCCAATTTGGCTTGTCAGTTTCTGAATATTATCTTCAGATCATATAAAAGTTTAATTTTAAAAAATAAAAATAAACACGCATTGATCAGAAAATGTCTTAGAAATTCCACTAGTATTCATTTCTCATGATTCTGTTTTCTACAACATTATAGACCACTATAAGGAGTGCCTTTGCCTAACCAGAGGGCGCGTAAGGGACTGTACATTATCACTAAACATGCTTGAACCTTCAGGCAAGTCGAGGAAGCGGAAAAGAGGACTCGCCTGGAGCTGCAGGAGAGGCTGGACCAGCAAGAAGGGGTCGTAGAGCAGCTCAAGATGGATCTCGAGAAGGTAGGGTAAAGAGAAGAATTAATATTATTCTACGACCTTGATGTTTAGGTGGGATGAGTTTTTAAAATCTACGGACCGTGCTCAGACGTTTTCAGTTACTGAAGAATATAAACGAACACTTGTACATTATATCAAGCCTTTCAGACTATCTAGTGTCATGTAATACAGCCTTTCAGACCTAGCATAGGTATGGGGTAATGTAACCACTTCATATCATCTGATGTCTTGGAAGATATACTTATGTTGTATCCTAAATTTGGAATGTAGTATCACATGACCACATATCAAATGTTACAATGCCTTTCCACGCCCAAGCCGTATGCCGGCTTGGTAGATGAGTAGATAAATTACTGATTTTCTTTTCTTTTAAATGATATATTATAGATCGTAATAATGTTATGATCTAGATTTTCAATGTAATACCATATATAATGTTTTGACCATGAATCAAATGTACCACAGCTTGCCCACGCCTGTGTAAATAAAGGACTAAATTAAACTAGGCTGTGAATTCTTCTTGGGATACGTGCCAATAATGCTGTAGATTATATTAGCGCAATTGGCCATCGCGCAGTTGATACATGTCATTATTCACAAATATGATTTTGTTGCTCCCTTTTCCCCTTCTTTTGGGTTTCAAATGGCTGAAGGTTGTAACGTAAATCATTATGATTAATCCACATGTGTGAATTGTGACGTGACTCACAGAATGATAATAACAACTAGAATAATCCCTTGCTATTACTTTTACCTCCAGTTAGTCAGCATAGAGATCTAATATTATATTGTGTGAACTTTCCATAATAACGTATAGAACTTTGTTACAAAACTTTTTAGCTGCCTTTCAGACTAACTAATGCGAGGTATAAATATTACAATGAAAATTATACACTTAGATAATAGTTAGAAAAGGCGTTGCACTAAGGAATAAATTAAAATAAACAAGTGGATACGAGCTGATTTACCCAATAACATAAAAACATGTATTAAACTGCATTATATATAAAGCTCCTTAGCTCATCTGCACATTATGTCACTCCCTCTTCAGTCTCATACCTATGTTCTGTAAATGCTTTAAGTTACGAGAGAAAGGGAGAGTAAAGATGGAGAAAGAAATAACCACGTGAAAAACACGTTTTAAAAGACGAAAAAAGAGCCCGATTTCAGAAATTATGTTAGTATTGATGGACTTACCTCCACCTGCCGCTTCCACCTCCACCTCCGACAGACAACGGCGGAGCTTGAACGCGAGAGGAGCGAAGGCGCGGAAATCGTTCGTCTGGTGGAGGCGGCGACGGAGGCCGAGCTAGGTCAAGTGAGGTCGAGTCTGCACGCCCAGCTGGCGGAGGAGCACCAGAACGTCATCAGACTTCGTAGTGAGATGGCAGCCATGAGGAAAAACTTCGTCACGTGAGTTGACTTCCGTTCCTCCTTTCCCACTTCCGCTTCAGGGCCGCGGAAGGTCGTCGTGTCCACGTGAACAGCTGCAGTGCTAGCTTCAGTGGCTGTAACATCACTTTTAAAAAATCCAATTCAGTTAAATCTAATCCCATTTAACTAAGAAACTTAAACACTAATTTCTTTCGAACAGAATTACAAACAAGAAATGTAATTCGTACCATTTTAACTAAAAAAAACTTACGCACTATTTTTTTCGAACAGAATTACAAACAAGAAATGTAATTCGTCCCACCTTTTACCTAACAAACTTAAACACTAATTTCTGTCGAACAGAATTACAAACAAGAAAAGTAATGCGTCCCATATTAACTAAAAAAAACTTAAGCACAATTTTTTTGGGAACGGAATTACAAACAAGAAATGTAATTCGTCCCACCTTTTACCTAACAAACTTAAACAATTTCTTCGAACAGAATTACAACAAGAAATGTAAATATTAACTAAAAAAAAAACTTAAGCACCGAACGGAATTACAAACAATTCGTTTTAACTTCGAAGCACCACGAATTACAAACAAGAAAATTCGTCCCACCCCTAACAAAAAACACTAATTTACAAACAAGAAATGTAATTCGTCCCACAATCACACAACAATTCCCACAAATCGATAACCCTTTCCCTCGACCTCCCAGCGTGCAGAGGGAGCGAGAGCAGAAGGAGGAGGACCTGAGAGCGCTGGCGGACGACAAGGCCAAGCTGCAGTCGTCCATCCGGGGTCTTGAGCGCGAGCTGGCTGCCCTCAGGCGCGAGGTCAACCACAGGGACGACATCATTCACGACAGGGTCAGTCGTCTTCGTGGTCGTACTGGAGAGAAGAAATGCGTGTGTTATGTGGCCTCTATGAATGATTAAGAAAGTTTGACTGTTTTATTTGTACTTTCTTGTCTTGATGGTGAATGGACATAAATAAAGGAGGGAATGATTACTACGAAGGGAGATAAAAGATTTTCCAAGGTTATTCGTCCTCTGTAACTCACTTGTCGATGAGGATCAATGTCATGAGAGAAAGGGGGAGAGAGAGAGAGAGAGAGAGAGAGAGGACAGAGAAGAGAGAGAGAGAGAGAGAAGAGAGAGAGAGAGAGAGAGAGAGAAGAGAGAGAGAGGAGAGAGAGAAGAGAGAGAGAAGAGAGAGAGAAAAGAGTGAGAGAGAAAAAGAAGGGAGAGAGAGAGAACGAGAAAAGGAGAGAGAGAATGGATTAATAAAAACAACATGGCAGTTGTACGAACGAAGCTTCAAAAGGCCCAAAAGCACAACAAAGCCCCACCCCCCTCCCTATATAAACAAACAAACAAACAAATCGATTTCTTTTCTGATTCGCTCCCCCTCCAACCCAACCCCCAGGAGAGCAAAATCACCAACACGAGGGAGAGAATAGGAGAGCTGGAGAAGCAGAGGTTCCTCCTCGACCACCAACTCGGCCAACTCAAGGAGGAGCTCGAGCCACTGCAGGCGGCACTCGATCAGAGGTCACACCAGATCAAGCAGGTAAAGGGAGTGATTGTGAATTATTGTTGTTATTGGTATTATTATTGTTGTTGTTTTGTTGTTGTTATTGGTATTATTGTTGTTGGTGTTAGTGTTGATGTAATTTGTCCTTTCATCCTTCGCTCTTTCTCTCTTTCTGTCTCTCTCCCCTCTCCTTTTCCTTCGTTTTCTCCCTCTTCCCTTCCTCAATCCCCCCTCTCCCTCTCCATCTCTGTCTTCCTTTCTCTCCTTCCCTCCACCCTCACCCCATATCTTCCCTCTCCCTCTCCTTCCATTCTCCCTCCCCTTCCCTCATTCTCCTCCTCTCCTCCTTTCTCTATCCTTTCCTCTCCCTTCCACCCTCACCCTATATCGGTCCCACTTCCTCATACCCTCCCTCTCCTTCTCCCTCATTCCCTCCTTCTACCTCTCTTTTTCCTTCTCCTTCTACTTCACATTTTCCCTCTCCCCCTTCTCCCTCTCCCCTCCTCTTTCTCCCTCTTCCCCTCTCCTCTCCCTCCCCTCTCCCTCATTCCCTCCCTATCCTTCACATTCTCCCTCTCCCCCATTCCCACCTCTTCTCCTCTCCCTCCCCCTTCCCTCCTTCTCCTCTTCTCCCTCTCCCTCATCCCTCCATCTCCCTCACTCCCACCCACCTTCTCCCTCTCTCCTTCTCCCCCGCAGATGGAGGAAGAGATGAGCGAGACGCGGCTGGTGGTGAGCGCCCGCGACCGCCAAGTGAAGGAGCTCGGGCAGCGGCTGGTGACGGCGGGCCAGCAATCGCGGCATTTGCAACAGAGGAACCACAACCTCGCAACAACCCTCACTCGCGTCTTGGCCGATCTGGCTTCAGCGACGCATCTCATTCATCATCCGAAGAAGCTCAAAGATGCGGTTAAGGTTGTTGTTGTTGTTGTTTTTTCTTACTGTTTAGGGGAGATTTTTTTTGTATTTCTTAGTTTTTTTTTTTTATTTTTGTTGTTGTGGTGGGTATGGTATTTTAGTTGTATTTTAGTTGTTTTTTTAGTTTTGTTGTGGTGGGTTATGGTAGTGAGAGTTTAATTTGTATTGTTTAGTCTGCGATGTTTCGTTAATTGAATATCTATTATTTTATAGCAATTATTATTTCTTATTTTCTTGCCTCTTTATCCATGGCATTATGAGAAATACTAATACTACCCTGTTTTCCTTATCGTTCCACTTAGAGTCAATATCTATAGATTTATTTTGAGATAAATACTTGCATGTCCCTCTCAACTAGTTTCTAATTATAGAAATCAGTTCACTTATTTCTATTCGCTTTGTAACTTATTTATTCATATTATACTTACTTATCTTAATAAATCTTAAAACCACCACTCGACTTACCATGTATTGTGAGCTACTAACTTTTTTTTCTCTCTCTCTTTTTTCTCTTTTCTTTTCTTTTTTTCTTTTTTCTTTTTTTTCTTGCCAAAGACTCTGAACGATAAGTACGTTCAGAGCGGACGACTTAAGGAGTTCTGGACTCGACCGGATTTGGATAAGATTGCGACTTCTTCTGCTGACGACATGGCCAAAGTGAGTGAAAATCTATAACTCTCTGTCTCTCTCTTTCACTGTCTCTGTGTTTCTATTACTCTCTCTTTCTCTCTCTCTCTCTCTCATATATATATATATATATATATATATATATATATATATATATATATATATATATATATATATATATATATATATATATATATATGGCCAAAGTAAGTGAAAATATATAACTCTCTCTGTCTATCTCTCTCACTGTATATATATATATATATATATATATATATATATATATATATATATATATATATATATATATATATATATATATATATATATATATATATATATATATATATATATATATATATATATATATATATATATATATATATATATATATATATATATATATATATATATATATATATATATATATATATGTATGTATATTTATGTGTGCGTGTGTGTGTTTGTTTGTTTTGTGTGTTTGTGTCTGTGTCTATATCTATCTCCACCAATCTATCTCTCAAACTTTTTTTATTTCTTTCTGTATTTCTTCGTCTATTTAATAGCTATATGTAATCAAAAAAACTTATAAAGCATAAAGCACCATTTTCTCTTCATTTTCATAAAAGCTGATATACCCCAATATTACATCCTGTCCATTCCGTATTTTCCTCTCTAAAATGAAAATACTTCTTATAGTCTCTCTCTCTCTCTCTCTCCTCTCTCTCTCTCTCTCTCTCTCTCTCTCTCTCTCTCTCTCTCTCTCTCTCTCTCTCTCTCTCTCTCTCTCTCTCTCTCTCTCTCTCTCTCTCTCTATCTCTCTCTCTCTCTCTCTCTCTTCCTCTCTCTCTCTCTTCCTCTCCCTCTCTTCCCCTCTCCCTCTCTTCCTTCCTCTCCCTCTCACTCCCTCTCCCTCTCCCCCTCTCCCTCTCCCTCTCTCCCTCCCTCTCCCTCTCTCTCCCTCTCCCTGCTCTCTCTCTCCCTCCTCTCCCTCTCTCCTCCCACATCGAATAAAAATTTGCCTAACACACCCACCTCCCACCTCGCTTCCAGGCAGACTCGATGGGCGAGGAGGCGGTGCCGGAACTCCTGCGCCAGAGGGAGATGCTGGAGCGGTCAGTGGCGACCCTCCGTGCACAGGCGCAGAAGCAGGCACGAGCTAGCAAGGACCGGATCACCACGCTCGTGAAGGTGACCTGTCGTTTGACCTCGTTTGCCGTGACCTGGGCTCTGTTCTCGTGGCGGCTGTTATTGTTGTTCTTTGTTCTTGCTGTTATCGTAGTGATGATTATGATAGTAATGATTATGATGATGGTGATGATAATGATAATTATAGTAATAATTATAACATTTATAGTAGTAGTAATGATGACAGTAATGATGGTGATAATAATGATAATGTTAATAATACTATTGACAAATAAGAATAATAGTAGTAGTAATAATGATAATGACACTAACAATAATGATGATAATGAAATAATAATAATAATGATAAATACTCAGAGAGCGCATACCTAAGCCAAGGTCAGAGATGCAATAAAGATATTCGCACAAAGAATTACATTAGTATCAGGTGACGTCCGTAAACATAACCTTGACGGAGTTAAGACAATAGGATTAATGATGTAATAATTCAAGAAAATTCTGGACCCGAATCACCACCAAAATGAAATGGAATCTGGTCGGGTATTTTTTTTCATAAAAATCCGTTCATACCTTTTTGCAGCGGCTTCTGCTTCTGCATGAAAGTGCTGCCCAGTGTCGATTGGAGCATTGTGCAAAAAATTTCCTACCTCACTCTCTGCGACGTAGATCATCCGAAAATAGACCCTCAGATTCAACCCTGGTATCTCACCCAATTATTTTTTATGAGTTACCCCTACAACAAACAACGTTTTCTTTGGGTTCATGACGTTGCGCTTTCTATGGCATTTTTCCATACATACTATACCAAAAACAGTATTAAGATGATTATGAATGCTACGAAAATAACAATAGTGACATCGATATTTAAAACAGCATTCAGAACTGTAATTCCGCAAATGTCTTTGAGACGTTTAGTGTACTTGTAATGGGATAACCCCGAGAGCTGCTATTATATCATATTATAAAAGATAAAAAGAAGATCTTCACACTACGAGAGTTTATTAAGAAAAGGAAAAAAATATATAAATAATACACCGGGCACGCTGGACAAAACACTTTACAAATAGCGATCACAAAACGTAAACAAGAGAACATAGACCTACCCAGCTCCGAGGGTGAGGGTGAACTGCCGAAAACCCGCCTGAGCTGCTGGCTGTTAACTGCTTGTTTATGGGTCACAGCAATTGTATAAAAATCGGGTACAAGAAGACATCACATAAATAATTAGCAAACAATGCTACTAGCTAGGTACATTTAAAAGAAATAAAAACAAGATGGACCTCAGGATTCACTACACACTAAAAGGCCTCTTGTGCCTCCCTTCCTCCAGGAGAACAGCGACCTCCTGTCCTCCGTGAAGACGCTGGAATCCCGGTGCTGGCGTCTCGAGGAGGACCTCCGTCAGGCTGAGAGCATGGCAGGTCTGCGGGATCCTCGGTCAGGGCGTCGCAAGGCCTCGAGGGATCTCCTAGTGCAGACGGTGACTCGCCAGGCGGACACCATCGCTCGCCTGCAGGACCAGATCAGGACGCTGCAGGAGGTGAGGGGCGTGTCCGAAGGTCGAGTTCGTTCTCTCTCTCTCTCTCTCTCTCTTCTCTCTCTCTCTCTCTCTCTCTCTCTCTCTCTCTCTCTCTCTCTCTCTCTCTCTCTCTCTCTCTCTCTCTCTCTCTCTCTCTCTCTCTCTCTCTCCTTCTCTTTGGACACGTGGATTGATTGGATGAAAATGAGGTTGCAGTTCGTTACTCTCAGTGATACACGTCGTTTTGTTCAGATGTCACGGACATATTTACATTAGAATTATGGACGAAGGGCATGAGTCAAAGGAGCTGCAAAGATTTCCCTTAAATTTTCAATATTAGGTCATAAAAGATATGATATAGCTGACTGGCGCGATAAAGTGTTGTTGTTTTTTTCGTTTTCTTTTAGTAATCTGTATAAAGGAAATGAGATATTAGGGTTGTAAAATGACCGAATAACTATAAATACGTTTAGTGAATAGTTATACATCCCGTTTCAACCGCCGATCAATCAACAGAACCAACGGAAGGAAGAAGGAGGCGACGAAGACGACCAGACAGGCGACGCGAAACCTCAGCCAGCGGAGTCGGAGGACGTCGACGGCGCCAAGCAGTCTATCGTGCCACAAGAGGAACCTCCGGCGGCCAGGGCGGCCGTTGCGGCTATTATTGCCCACAAGGGATTATTGTTATTATTACCAGAATTGAGGAAATATTAGAGATAAATCTAGGTTTAAATATTAAGATTGAAAAGTATTGAAGAAGGTGAAGACAGGCCAGAGGATATGTATTGGGATGGAAGACAAGAAGAGCCACAAGTACGTAGATAGAAATACGTAGGAACAAGAATATGAAATAGATTAGAGAAATGAAGGAATTGTATTATGAAGATGTACACGAGACAGATTTTATTAGACGAATAGAGGACAAGATTAGCTATTGTACTAAAAGCAGAAAGAAACAGGGATATTTGTTATATTACAACAGTGAAGAAGAAAATGTATTAAAAATATGAAGGACAAGACAATCTATTGTGTCAGAGAGGCGAGAAAAAAATGTTATGTTTAAACATTACCAATAGTTATGCAAGGTGTATACATTTTAAGTGTTGTTAAACGGGTGATTTGAAGCTGTATTTATTGAGAGTATGTATAAATATAGTCATGATATTGATCATATTATAGTCTATTGTTATCTTGAATAAATACAATCCTGAAATAAATAAGACGTGTATGATTTTAATTGTTCATGTGTGTTTTATGTGTTCCTGTATATGTGTATAGATGTACACTTTTAACACATACTAGCATACACACACATACACATACGTAAATATTCACACACATACTCACACTCACACACTCACATGTACACACGGTCTCACACACTCTCACGCAAATACTAATACTAACAAACACGTACACACTTATACATATACATGCACACTTACACACACCCAACACGCATACACATATATACAAACACACACACACACACAAACGCACACATTCAAATACGTACACAAACGCGCACACATCTATCAAACCTTACATCCGTCCATTAATCCATTCATACGCACATATGTATAGGCTATTTATTTACATATCTATCGATCTAACTCTATAACTACCTGTCCGTCTGTCTGTCTATTTATTTGTCTATCTATCTGTCTGTCTGTCTATCTGTCTGTCTGTCTATCTATCTATCTATCAATCAAGCAACCGATCAATCAATATATCTATTTATCTATGTAAATACTACCTGGTTGTGATGATGATAAGAAGACGATGATGATGATGAGGATAATGATGATTAAGTACATGATGATGATTGTAATACGAATGATGATTGAAGATGATGATGATAAAATAATGGTGATGTGAAGATGATAACAATAACTCTAATAAGCTTAATGTTAATAGGAATAATAGTAAACACAACAATCGTATTACTAATGATGATAGCAGAATGGTGCAATAAGATCCTGCGTCACCTCCATGTCAGATTTTGACGCAACAAAGATGCACCACGCAAGCAGTTTAAAGATGCGTCACGCTTGCAACATAACCTCTCGTTGCAAATTCGGTTTCTAATGGAATTTATTGCGGTCTCAAGGACTTTTTAGGGTCACAGTAAGGCTATTATTGTTTTCTCTCTTTTCGAAAAGTAAGAATTGTTTACTTGTTAGCAAGTCGTTGATATTTTGAGAAATGTTAATGGGTTAATTATCAGAACTACGAAGTCGACAGTCAGGAATAATTACAGGAATAATTATGATAAGAATTTAAATCTAAGAACAAATTTGGCAAAGGGAGAGCAGATAATGTGCTACGACACTGTCAAATTTTTTAATGGAAAAAAATAAATTTTGAAGAAATATCTTATGATATCATGATATAATGTAATGGTATCAAAGGGTAGATCTTTAGGGAAAATGTACAAAAAGCCTAGTTTTGGATTTCCGTGTTTATTTTGTGCCACGAGTCATATATATGTATGTATATATGTATATGTATATATATATATTATATATATATATATATATATATATATATATGGGGGGGTGCGTGCGTGTGTCTGTGTGTGTGTTTGTGTGTGTTTGTGTGTGTTTGTGTGTGTGTGTGTGCGCGCGTGTGTGTGTGTGCGTGTGTGTACGTGTATGTGTGTGTATGTATGCGTTTTTCTTTTTTTCTTTTTATTCTTTCTTTTTTCTGATATGATACGTTATTCCCATTGCCCTTTATCCTTGGACTCGATTCGAGGTCTGTGGGACGCATCTCCTTATTGACTTTGATTTTCGATTTTTTAATGAATTTTCATCCCTGACCGAAATCATTCAGAAACGGCCGGTTTGTTAGGACTGTGCGAGGTCCGTCTCAATGAATATTCATTGTATGAATCTACTCCATTTTCTTCTCCGTCTTCCTCTCCTTATTTTTGTTCTCCTTGCCTTTCCTCTTCTTCTTCTTCTTCCTCCTCCTCTTCTTCTTCTTCTTTTCCTCCTCCTCTTCTTCTTCCTCCTCCTCCTTCTTCTTCTTTTCCTGTTCCTGTTCGTCTTCTTCTTCTTCCTCCTCCTCCTCTTCCTCCTCCTCCTCACAGAGAAATAAATGTATATCTGTCTGTCTGATAGATATTGATTCATCTTTCCGTTCGTTTGAATTGCATGCATAGACCGATAGATATGCATTTATTCTTTATTTATGCGTCAAATAAATAATA